TCTGAAAAAGTTTCTGCTTATGAAAACATGCCCCCCAAGTCTCCGCTTTCTTATGGCGAAAGCCGGAGCTCTCTAGCTGGCTTCTATCAAAAGTTATTAAAAAAACAACGGAGTCCATTCTATTTTGGTACAGATAGTAGGCTGTTTGCTATTAACACTTACCGAAGTGTTAACAAGATGCTATTGACACGTTCGGAAGTGTCATTAAGAAGCTAATGCCACTTTTTGAAAGTGTCAACTAGAAGCTACTTCCGGACGAAGGAAGTAAGTCGCAGTTTGAACCCATCAAGAAGACATGAATATGCGGACGGGACAGTCCTGTCCGCATATTCGTGTCTACTTCATAGGTTCAAACTGCGATTTACTTCCTTCATTCAGAATGAGATAAACCGGAGAGAAAAATATTAAAGTTTTTCGCATGGGACAGAAAAATATTTAATTATTTTAAAATAAAGGAAAAATATTTAAATAAAACAAAATATTGAACGGACTAATATTTAAATAAGGCGGAAAAATATTTAGTTGATTTTTAGTATTAGTCGTTTAATATTTTTTCCTTTTTAACATTAGTCTATAGACCCGTGGAATATACGTCAACTTTTTATTTCTGCTCAAAAAGTATGTTCTGATCTGAAAACTATCCCTTTTTATGTTGAACTCGCTATGTTAATGTACAGTTTATTTTCTCTTTGATAAGGTTTCAATTTGAAGAAAAACACAAGACAATCACCCTGTTTTTATTATTTTCGCCTAAAAAAACAATCACCACAACCCACTTGGATAGCATTTACTAATAAAAACGGACGTATTTACGGTTTTCCGTCAAATACAAGTGATAAATTTGGTTATCTAATGGTATCTTCATCTGATGAATCATTTGGAAATGTTCAAAAATGGATTAGTGAGCACGCTGCGGCATTCCTGAATTCGAATGATTTTCGTAAGTCTTCCATAACATGTTTATCACCAACAACAACATATGAATATATAATTGATAATCTGCCAAGCAATGTACCGTATAGTCAAAAATCGTTTATATATATTGGTGGTTCAGGCATCGATGCTGGCCCTCTACCTGTATTTAGTAAAATATTAACAGATCGTGTTACACAAACATCATCTGTTTATTCGAAATATTCGACACAATTTGCTTTAAATTCAAATCAGTTCACTGTAGAAAAGAATTTAACATGTCCTGCTAGACACTTTCAATGTCAACAGTGTCAAGTTGAATAAACATTATTGTTAATAAAAAGAACTTTTCACAAGTTTAAGAAATGCTTAACAGGTGTATACTACTAAAATATTTACAAATACGAGTTTTCGTTTCGTATCCCGATAACAAAAACCACTCTTGAAAAAACATTTTCATATAATATGGAATTTCGCAATTCGGGTGAGAATACTTATTCTGTACAGGGTTGAAGAAAAATGCTTTTCCGCATGATGACATTGTAAGCGACAACTATCGTCATGGTTATCGCTAACTTAGATAGCATTTTCATTGGACACTAGAATTAGCCGTTCTACTTTCTTCTCTCTCCCCCTCTCTATGGTTTCATTATCTAGTACGTGGACAGCGATAAAAATATATGCTTCTTTCGTGCACTTTTGCGTTTTTTTCTATTACAATTCATTGGCCCTTTTTCCATTTTTAACGATCAAAACACGCGTTAAATGTTTCATTTTAAACGAAGAAAAACGCGTTAAAACATTCTTTTGAACACCTTGGAAACGTGTTACGTTTGCGTTAAAAACGTACAAAAAACGCGTTTTCAAACGTTCTAGAACGCGTCTCAGATGAAACGTTTAACGCTTTTTTCGATCGTTAAAAACGGAATAAAAACGCGTTTCGGGATGGACGGGAGAACGAAAAGACGATGATATTTCTTCGATATTTCGATTGCGCTTATGTACTCGACTGACCGCAAAACAAGACGGTGAATGATTAGCTGCATTTTTCAACCGTTAAAAACGGAATAAAAACGCGTGAGAACGGAAAATGGGACAAGCGTTATGAAACGCGTTTCTGGCACGATTCAGGAGTTGCGGACTCGATCCGGTAACGGGGGATGACAGTTACAAATTTAAACAAGAATCAAATGAGATTTTATTTCCTGTTTTCAATTTTTTCTGACCAGCTACGATTACCGAGCTATTGACAAAAACAGCTCTCTCTATAGTGTAGAATAGTGAATATCTCGGTAATCGTAGCTGGTCAGAAAAAACTGAAAACAGGAAATGAAATCTCATTTCATTCTTGTTTAAATTTTGTAACTTTCATCCAATGAACTGGTAAGAGAAAAAAACGAAAAAGTGCACGAAAGAAGCATATTTTTTTATCACTGTTCGCGTACTAATCAAGAAATCCAGAACATTGAATCAAAATCAACAAGACTAAGATATTAAAATGAAATTGAAATACAGGAAGTATCGTTACAAATAATAGCACGTATTCCAGATCTAAATTTCACAACTAGATCTGTTCCTATGGTTATTTTGCAGAAGGTTGTGTCTCCCTTAATCGAGAAGAACAGACAAAAGTCAAAATGAAATGACGACAATACAATAGTCAAAATTTATCTTTTCTGTTAGGCACATTAGTGTACAGTTACACGTGTCTATTTTACTAAATATAATTCACTCTTCTGTTTTCTTGTACTTCGATTTCATTTTAATATCTTAGTCTTGTTAATTTTGATTCAATATTTGAGATTTCTTGATAATGAAACCATAGGTTTCGAAAGCTCGAGATAAAATTGGAATGAGTTTATCCGCTGCTGTTAAAGCTCTACTATCTGAATTCATTCATTGGTGGGTGAGTACAGATCTCCTAGTTTTTTGCGCTTTGGTGTGACCTCTCGCCCTAGCAAACCGGGATCATTTGTGCTGTCTCTTTCTGTTTCTTAGCCTCGAGCAGCGATCATCGAGATCGGGAACCTCACAGACATCTCTGTTAGGTGCTTTAAGCTGTGTGAAAGTAAGTTTCAAAGGTAAGATATAAACCTGCAGCAATGAACCCTAAAGGTTCATTGCCAGCTCAGAGCTACAGAAATAAGCAGAAATAAATTTAGGGCTTTTCGTGTAAATTCTTTAACTCTGCAAAGGAAGGTTTTGGTTGAAAGAAGGTTTTGGTGACTTTGAAAAACTGGTTTTCGAGAAAACCGGGTTTTAGTATTTAGGGAATAAACGAAAGAGAAACGTTCGCAATAAGATAAGTCACTTAATCTGAACGAAATAAACATGTGTATAATAAAACGGTTAGTATACATAAACGAAAGCACATTTCTGAAATTTTTTTTACAGATCGGTTGTCCTACTGATGGAGAACTCCGCATTTTAATAACTTTTGATTTGGTTAAGAAATAATGGAGTTACATGAACTTTACTCCACTTCAAAATTTTCCCGTTCGCATTAGGAACTTTCGCTCTATGCTTTTACAGCTTTTACACCATCAATTCATTTTTTAGAACGTCAAATTAATCGCGAATGTGTATTTTCCAAGCTATGTTGGCCGACAACCGGTCTCAGATATCCTTAACTCGAATATTTATATGCGGATATTCCTATTTCGGATATCCGCCCATCTCTGCATCATTCGATTTAGTTTCCGGTGAGAATATGCCACTCGTTTTTCTGTAAACTAAGAACACTCGCTAGTAACATTACTAAGAATCAGCCCAAAAGAAGATATTGGTAAATGCTTTCTAGAATTTATCGGATGAGAAAAAACGTCGAACTGACGTTTTTCACTAATTACTCATAGGGGACGCGTTTCAAGGCTTGAAACGCGTCCCTTATGAGTAGTACCTTGAAGTTCAAGGTACTTTGATCAAAAAACGTTGGTGAAAGAAGCCAAATATTCGAGTAGTCTGTTAGAACGAACAACGAACACCCCCGCTTACAATTGCTGTTACACACCCTTAACCTCACCATCAACAGCGTCGCAAAAGTCTACCAATGTGACACCACTAAGAAAAATTATACTTGTTGAATGTTATGATAAACCAATAACACCTTAGAAACTATCTACTATTGATTAAAAGTTACAAGGCTATACAAAACCAAACTGAATTTTGAATGCCTATGACGAATAAGGTGATATATTGGATTACTGGTAACAGAACGGGACAGCATTTTTTATAATTCTGTACTTCCAGTGTAGGAAACTTTGTACAAGAGAGAAATACAAAGACTCTCACTCCTCACGCGTTGTGAACAACTCTAGCTCAATAAAGTTATTGAAAATTATTCTGTCTAGCAGCAACTATCTGGATGGACTTGAATAGCTTTAAAGTTGTATTAGATTATATCCATTGAAATACCTTCACCCAATACGAAAACTAGTCTCGCATGTGTAATTTCCTGCATTGTTTCAGAATATGATCTTTTTGAGGGAAATATAACAGCTTACTGCAGTAGTTACAAGGACATCCTACATTTCCTTACTCGAAAGAGTCTCTTACTGTTGGATTCTCTAACAGTTTCTTTCTCAGTTCGTCTAAGTTGGGTCAACTAGGGCTGGTTATCTGTAAAATTCGCACTAAATAAATTTTTCCACTTCTTGTTCAGAATTGAAGCACCTAGACTATTATGGATACTCGTGACACAATCTAAAGGGGGAGCGCTGCCAAGTGATCAGGACCTTTCTCGGTCACATTGTGTCTATTGCAGAAGTATGAATGATTGAAGTTTACTAGTAAGGGACATCATACTGCTTCACGTTAATGTTGCTTTTCTCATATCCCAACAACAAAATGATATTCAATGCTCTTCAATGCCTAATTAGCCTAAGAATTTTGCACTTATCGCCTGTATAAGAGGATAAATTCAGCTTTAGCGTTACCTCACTTTTGCTGCCTCTTGTTCCACAAGTAGTTTTCAATAGGAAAAGTAAGGTCGATTTTTGTTTCTTTTTGTATTAGTGCTATTAGTCCAGCGAGATTAGAACTAGATTCGTATGCTAATGACTATTCCTAAAAAGTTTTAACACAAACAGAAAGATAGAGCGTAACACGCTCTACATTTTGGTAAAAAAAGAAAATTTCGTCAGTTTTTTATTCAACAGGAAATCAGGACGAAACATGTATTCAATCTGGTTTTCTGTACAAAATGTCAACCGAGATTTGGAAAATTGTTTACTCTATAACTCCGAAGCTGGTGATCCGGTAGCGCTCAAAGTTTTACCCTTTTCTTGATTTCCTGCCGAGAACACATGGAAAAAATTCCAACTCTCTAGTTTGTCTTGTGACAGAGGAAATCTCATTTTACATCGAAAACGTCCACCGAGATTATTTTGTCTATATTTTGACTAAAATAACTTAAAATTCCGGATTACATGAATTTCGGCCCATGAATTTTTTGTTCCGGACTTTCGGTCCGGTTCAAAATTTCGATGATTTTTCGGCCCGGGCCGAAAGTCTGAAAGGAATTTCGGGCCAAACCTTAATTTACCTAATTAATTTTATAGATAATTAGTAACCTTCATGGTGCTCAGCACTATGCACTTTCAATAAAACGTGGTGCTCGGCAGTATGACCTGGTGCTCAGGAGATGAAAGTGGCGGTATTGGTAGAGAAACATCGGTCGAATAAAATTAAAATTATACTGGCAGAGTATCGTGCTCTGCCTCACTTCTAATAGAATTGAATGAAAATTGCTAAACATCATGTCGTACTGCCGAGCACCATGAAATTTACTAATTATTTATAAAATTAATTAGGTAAATTAAGGTTTGGTCCGAAAGTCCGGGACAAAAAGTTCGTGGGTCAGGCATCCCAAAATTCCAGCTCATCATACATCATAAGATTGGTTGAAACTTGCGCTATTCGTCTCAAATCACAAATAACTTCTGGGGTTGATAAAATAGCAATAGCAACTGCTTTTATATTCATATTTATTTAATAAAAATTAAAATTAAAAAATTAAAATTGTTTTATAAAAATAAAGCCGACGTTTCAAAAACTGTACGATTCATTTTCAAGACAATAGAGACGTTCAACACGATATAAAGTTAAAACGAGTATGACTGCAGAACAAACAAATATGTTTTTCTCCCTCTTATAAAAAAAAATGTCTATTTTTCTCTTTCTGTCTCTCTTACCAAAAAAACGTATATTTCTCCATCTGTTTGTGAGGGTCAGAGCCGGCGAAGAGATGAATAGCGACGCATGCTTCTAACATTTCCTCTTGTTCTCATACGGTCAAAGCACTAATTAGCAATTTTCTCGTTGATGACTTTATTGAAATTGAAAACTAAGATATGCAATTGAAAGAGGATGAAAAGTTCTATATGGAACCATCGAAGATGGGGCTAGAGCCGGCGAAGAAACGAATCGTGAGGTTTTTTTCAGATGCTTGTGGCATTTTAATGGGTTTTTTTCTTGGGTAACATAATGGATTCTGAAACGCGACACATGGAACCGGTAGAGCCGGTTATATTGTAGCTGGAACCAGCGCAAGGAAGGTTGGAATCGGTCTCTGGGCTAGTCCATTCAGGAAAAACTCGAATCCTGACCTATGATATCCTAGGTGGATTCGGCACATAGTTTTTAGGAAATTAAATTTACTGCATTTCAGGTTCGAGACTTAACCCTCAAAAATGCTGATTGAAGATTTTAAAAGAATTCTTTTCGACATCACTATTCGTCAGCAGTCAGTATTTCCAGTGTCAGTATTGAGTATACTGATAGTGGTGCATATCTACAATACACACCAGGAGGAATCAACTGGCGACATGACTCTTCTGCCAATACCTAGTTTTAGTAAAAATCTATTAAATCACCGAAGGCTTGGGTACGGCACCAAACGTAGGAGTGAACCTTCTAGTTGAGCAAGCTGGCTCTGAAACACCAGTTTGTGTATAACACATATTTCAACACCAGAAAAATACGTACGTTTAAAAATAACTTAGGTTTGTCAAAATGTTAGTTTAAACGCGTTTCTTTTTCATCCAGAAAAACGATTTGGAAAAACTTTAAATGCGTTTTTCTTAAAAGTTTCTGGAACCACTGTTTTTTAACTGGAAAAGCAGTTTTTTCACATTCATCAAAGCTACCCTTGGTATATTATTTTACTACTTAAAAAAACGGAAAAAACCTTGTTTCATCGTGTTTTTTTAAATAGTTTTGTGTAAACGCTGTTTTTTCAGCCCAGAATATTATTTCAAAATGACGCAATTAAACTCATTTTTCTGTTCAATTCAAACTTGTTTGTGTTATTGTTTATTATTCATACAAAAAAGTTTCAAGAAAATATAAAAAAGCCGCGTCTGGAAACAAAAACGTCATGCAACGTTTTTGTCCAATTGTTTTTCATTCCTTTCTAAAGAATAAACGTAAGTTATAAAACAGAAAAAAAAAAAAAGGGTAATCCGGGACTGAACTACCCCGAGGGGGAAAACTACAGTTTGGTAGTCATATTGATACCGAACCGATCGGTATATCGACGTTATGAAAAAAACGACGAGCGCTCATATCTAATTTCAATGTTTGGATGAAATGACTGGCAAATATTTCTAGTTTTGCTACATTTTAAGATCTTTGTGCATTTTTACACACGGCATTTTTAAACCGTTTTGAAGCTTATGTTCTGTATACTCAAGCACATGGTAGTTATTTGCACGATAAAATGATTCGGCTGTTATAGACGAGTCGAGTAAAATAAAACGAAGTCCATACTGATGCTGAGCCATATGCTCAAGATGTTGCAAAATACACGTACCGATTCCCATCCTCTTTACAGATGGTGAGACGTAACAGGCTCGCAGCTCATTTGCAGCCACTACAAGACATCCAAATCCGACGATTTGTTCGTTGGCCGCAACAGCGACAATGCGGATTTCGTCGTCCGGATTCTCAAGAAACTTGATTATTCTGTTCTCATCGACCAGTGGAGACCATGCTTGGCATACGGTCGTAGAGTAATCTTTGGAAGCCGTCGTGTGCACTGCATCAAAATGAACTTGTAGAATGCTAGAAGCATCTTCAGGTTGAGCGCGGCGAATGATCAAGCGCTCCATGAGATTTGTCGTTCAAACACTAATATGTGTGCTGTTTGTTGAGAATCGAACAAAATATTTTACGTTGACTAGTTATCTTTTTTTACCACGCACCCCTCTGTGCATAATAAAACACTTATGTCAATCGAAAAGAAGTAATATTTAACAACTTACCTCTTATCAAAAAGAATGAGAAACATTTTTACTATTTCAAATCAAAAGGTACATGGTAGTTTTCAAAATCTCTTGGCTTTAAAACTGATATGTTCCACAGTTTTTCTCATTTTGTAGTCAAAACATAGTCTTCTAAGTAATCCAAAGTTAGTGATTATACATAGTCTTTTGTCAAAACGGAGATGAAATTTATGTGCATTGAAATGAGACTTGCGCGATCCAACAACTCCATGCTACCGACCATGTGGGAAACAGTAACAACAAATTAGAAAGCTTCAACTTAATTATACAAAACTGGACTTTCAAGCAGAAATAATGCAAATAAACACGCACTTCTAAGCAACAGATATACAAGATAAACAGAGTCAGAAGATTCAATGTGAAATGTGAGGCAAATGCCAATGAGTGATGAAAAACAAATGATATAGCCACATGTAAAAGAGTAGACAGGTGCCTGGTGCGTATAACAACAACTTGAAGCCAACAACAACAAAATCAGTGTTCGTAGTCGAAATGATTGATTATGAATGTCTCGGTATAATAAAGAATGCATTCAGAACAATTCCACTAAGTTACATCCATAAGAATGAACAAGGAGGTTTATGATGAATAGTTTTGAAACATAGTTTTTATCGGCTAAATAGTCGATGAATAAATAAATGGCATCTCGATCAACTCAAGCTTCTTCCATTCATTTGTTATTGAAGCTTTAACCACTAAAAACTCGAAGTGTCCTGATAAGATACAATTCAATATGCAACGCGCTAAAGCGAACGAGCATGAATGAAAGCGAAAACACTTTTCGTGTTATTGGAATATACTTTTGAATAGATAATATTGTGCCGGTATAGAAATGTAATACCGCTATTGGATCCCTAATTACCACAAGTTTCCGCCATCACCTGTGTATTCTTTTCCTGTCCATCACCGGACCTTGTCCGAAACCTGCTATTATTCTGCCAACATTATTAAACAATACTTATTTCATTTCAGATCAAAATACTGTATATCTAGAGCTGATTTTCTGAAAAAAGATTAGTATGGCAGCTAAAACCTCGCATTTTGTCGTATGTTACATACTTATATGAGCTTCACGTCTAAACCACTTTCCTAATTTAGAACCAAGATCGTGGATTCGATGTTTTTAATAAAAGTTCATTTCAACAGAAATACATCTGTCGATTCTGTGACTGTTTACTTCGAGACCCTATACAATTCTCATGTGGAGATCGAGCATGTTTATTATGTGCCACGTCAAAAATCGGGTGAGCAGCAATAAAGCGTAGCAGAAGCTCAACTAAGATATTCTCAATATCGTAAATGCTTTGAGGAATGTGAAGTCAACCATTTGTACCCTATGCAATGAGACAATATCCAATCAGGTAAGCAAGTATTCGAACAATGAAATTTCTGACTACATACTCACCAGTTATGCACTTCAGTTAATGACTAAACTACCCCTGCTTGAAGCACATATGTCTTACTTTGGTGTTCATTCGTTTCTTCTAGCTGATGTTTGACAAGGCATTCAAGAAAGAGATGGACCAACTAGAAGTTAAGTGCATCGAAAACTCGAGAAATTGCATGTGGTGTGGTCAGCTTGAATTTTACAAGGTGCGCGTGACTACATTCTACTAGAAACAAAGTTCTCTAATGCTTGCGGAAACACCAGTTTAGTACTACTAACTTAAATATTACAGTAGTGAATCTGACCTTTAAAATAATCACGTTCGAAAGTTTGAACAGAAATAGTTTCAAAGGATCGCTTGGATTATCTGAGCATCTATAGATCTCCTTTCTCTGAGCAAACGATAACTCATTGCTCATTATTGTAGGAACATCTCGATAAGTGCCACTCTAACATAGTATGCCAGTATTGTAGCCAACAGTTTTTATCGTCAAATATGTTAGATGAACATATGAAACAAGCATGTTCTAAAGCATTGATAACGTGTTCGTTGGCAATGTATGAGTGCTCTTGCTTGGTAAATCTTTCAAAAATTACTTTTTAGGTCTCTAATAGTTTCTTGCTCAGTTTGTTCGCAGTGAACTCGGTGCTCATCTTGTGCAAGAATCGCATCAAACCTCAATCCTAAGGTGCTTTGAACATATTGAATCTAAAATTAGGCCGATGATCAGTGAGCAACGTACCACTCTTTCAATTTCTCATTCAACATTAGAAAAAGGCAGCACTGCTCGTTTTATGAACACAAGAAAACAAGAAAACAATATAGTTCATCGCACCATGGGTTTTGAAAGTAGAGTATCAGAGCAAGTGGCTACAGAAACTAACAATCTTTTTGCTGAAGTGAAAAAATGTCATGACACAATAACTGTGTTAAATCATGGCGTTCAATCATTATCACATGATGCAGACAGATTGAGTGCAGAGTCACTACAGCAGGAGAAGTTGATCCAGTCAAGGTTTAGCGACGTAAATCAACTTAAACTATCCATCAGTAAAATGGATAGTTATTTGAAAGGTATACCTCCAAATCAAGAAATGATACAGCAACAACTGTTGAATGTTAAACAAAAAGTTGAGGAAGTTGACTGCTCTTCCTACGATGGTATGTTAATATGGAGGATTACAGATATCTCAGATAGGATGGCGGATGCACAAAGCGAACGACAAACATCAGTTTATTCACCTGTATTCTATTCATCGCCAACCGGATATAAAATGAGAGTATGCTTATACCTTCATGGAAATGGCAATGCCCGTGGAACACATATGTCACTGTCATTCGTACTAATGAGAGGCGAGTATGATTCTATTGTCAAGTGGCCGTTTAATCACAAGGTTACTTTTTGTGTGTTTGATCAATCTGGGCAAAGCCAGCATGCTATCAATTCATTTCATCCTGATACAATATCTAATAGTTTCCAACGCCCACAATCCGAAATGAATATTGCCTTTGGTATTTCGAGATTCTTTCCTTTATCGGTGATTCAACAAGAGGACAACAGTTATGTTCGTGATAACACAATGTTCCTAAAAGTAATTGTAGATTTTGCTGAATTACCACAACTGGTATTGCCGTATGCATTGAGCATGAATCCCGGTCTGCCGTCTCACGTACAACAGTATATGATCAGGCAAGAGATCCAAAAACGTCAACAAGCAACAATAATGGGGGCAGTTGTTCCGCCACCGACGACAACCGCATCTAACGGTTGATCGACATCAATCGTACAGCATTTTTATAAACTTTATAAGATTCCAGATGATGGCATCGCGTATGCACCTCGGGTAACACTAGCATCGCCGAGATCCTTCCAGCTCGTAGTGGCAGAGAATAACATGTGCGTATGTAATATGCATGTGTATTCCAAGTATCGTAACATTTTACCTCTTGCTTTTCGTAATGTCCCTACTTTGTTAGAAATATAAAATTTAGGCGAAATACCAGTGCATCGTTAAACAACTCAACGTGCCTACCATCCGTAATGGTCTAGGTCTTGCCCAACGTTCACGCAAATATCAAAAGTAAATCTCTATTAGCCAGTAGCCATATGCATGAGCCTGAGTTTTTGATCAAACAGAACTCTTGATCAGTTAGTTTAATGGAGAAATTCTGCAAATGCAAACAGACTAATGTTCTAACTGTTCATCATCATACTCAGCGTTTCCTGCACTTTTTCGCATAGATTAGACTTGTAGTTAAGTAGATAGATTTCCAACATCATATTTAACTGCCAGTAGCTGTCTGCAACTTTTGTATACATAGAAATGCTTGGACGGTGAAGCCTGGTAGACATGCTCGATTCTGCACTATTCTCGAATATAAAGCTATTTCAACCGAAAGTGTCGGCAGAGTATCATGCAAAGCTCATCAGAAAGCGGCGAAAATATGACCGATATCATTTTGCAATTGTTGAGATTTTTTTGAATATCCTTCGAGATAGTAAAAGCCTCTTCCTTAAGCGCGCAAATGGGATACTGAGTGTAATACTTTTTTCAGTGTAACGGAAACATTTTGAGAAAACTTAAATTTTAAGGTTTTTTAGAATTTTAAATGTTTAAGTTTAATTTTTCTCAAAAATTTTCCGACCTTCTGAAATTATGAAAACATAGGTTATCGAACACACTGAATCTTGTGGCAGTGTTAATTTTTGGAAGAAAGTGTAAGAACGGAGTCAAAACCTGTACTAGATGATATAACCCAGTTTTAGCTATTTTCATCAAAAATTAAAAACTTCATAACTCAGTCAAAATCCCATTCTTTTGAAAGCCAAATAAAAATGTGCGGTTTGTCTAATTCGTAAAAAATCGAATATTGAACGATACACACCTATTGTAGTTCCTTGACCGCCCTGTTGCTAAAGTGTCAATTAAGAGGCCTTAGAAAAAATTTCGTTTGAAACTAAACGTGAGAAAAATCCTTTTTAACTTCAAAGTACGTTTCTAAAACATTTTGCCACACATGATGAGGCGCAACAAAGAATAACTACGCATAAGGAATTCGGTGCCAGCGAGAACCAAAATCTGTTCTTTTTACAAAGGCTTTTTCATTTGGAAAAGTACTGTCAGCTGAAATCTGTTCTGTACATGTATTTAAGACACTGAAAAATAACGATGATATTCACAAAATAAATAGCATAAAAGAACTCAACCTTTTTAGTGGGGAGTGTCATGAAATTCAGATTTTTAAAATCCGGATGTTCATAAGCTCGAGAAGACTTTTTATCCGGAAATCCTACTCGCCCGTGCAACTCCGCCCGGATGTAATTTCATCCGGATTTAAAAGTGGGTAAAATTTCCGGATGAATTTCCCTCGATCAACTCCGGTAAGAAATATTTGTCTTGATCTTAAACCATGCAGTATTCTCTTCTTCATTTACTTTCACACACGACTCAGCAGCTTAATTAATATTTTGATATGAGCCAAATTCTTGTTATAGTCGATTTGCATTTGAAAAATATTTAATCAACCTCTCTGCTAAATATTCAGCGTTAAATAAACTGACTACTCGGTTATGGTGGAAGAAAATGACAAAACAAAACATTTCTTTTTCAGATTTTCAGTCCTTGATTGCTAGTTACTACAGCAACGGATGATGGAGGATTCTCAACTCTCTCATTTTAACTTTGTTTATCACAACATAAAGCTAACAGACTTCTGTTATAGGAATTAATCGAAAATTTTTGTTAGAAGCTCTCAGACTGTAAAGGAGCGGGTCGCATGCGAACTCATATCAAAATATTAATTCGGATCAAGTATAATCACACAGTGCTACAAAAGATAGAGATCGTTACAGTGAAAAGTAACTTGTAAAAACGATGAATCATCGGTCTTTGGCTACCGACTATTTCAAGTTTTCTCCGTAAATTTAGTTGTCTTTAATTAACGTTAAGAAATAAAACATGATTTTATTCTTTCTTTAGACGAGCTTAGAGATTGTTATTCTTTATCAAATATTTACTATATTTCGTGTAATCAAATGACACACGAATGTGACGTTAGAAAATTCTTATTTAACATTTGCTTTTCGCTTACATATGAATAAATGGTATTGATGAAACAGTGTGACGGTTCACTTTCTACAACATTCTAACTCAAAAAACATTTTTCAATATTAGTAGCAATAGAGAACAAGACAATATGAGTATTTTGTTGTCCTTGAAAAGCTCTAAGAACTGATCGCATTTAAAAATTTTCATAATCAATCAGCGTCATTTGATTACATGAAACATAGTAAATATTTGATAAAGAACAACAATCTCTAAGTTTGGCTAAAGAGAAAATAAAATAATATTTCATTTCTTAACATTAATTAACGATGAATAAATTTATTGAGAACAACTTGAAATATTTTTGATAAGTGAAACGTCTTGATAAACTATGCATTGTGCTACTCGAACACAAAGAAACTGATATCATGAATCACATAAAATTGATTTAATAAAGAACAGATTAAATTTACACTTTACTCATGTACCTCAAACAAAATGATACATATTAAAAGTCATCAAGATGTCAGGAGTACATGAGTCAGCAAAAATGTTTTTGTTTCTTCTCAACAGTATACATTTCGTTATCTATTCGACTCAACCATCAAAGTTGTTTATATCTAATAGTAACCGTGAATAGAGATATACAAAATCCTTTCCCAAAATATACTTTTCTTATCAGTTAATAAGACAAGGTGACTTGTTTGATTCTAAAACAGTATAGATGAAACTACTATTTGAAAAAATTTTATCGTGAAATGAAGGTTTGCAACACATACAGTTAGATAGAGTGCAAAGTGGTTAGTTCGAACACGTATACGTTTAAATGCGGTGCGAGTCGAAAATAAATCCAGAGTTAATGTTGGTGAAAATTATGACTTTTTAATCATGTGAAAAACTTAAATTTGTTTTTTTTCTATAACATGATGTGTTTTAGAGCATAACGTTATACCATTGAGCTCTCTTTGGACGAAGTATATCTACATGTGGACTAGACTCAAAATAATATAATCAAATTTGATGCACGCTCCACTTACATTTTAATTGTTCAATGGAAAACACACACAGAGGCATTTATATGCACACTTTGTAAACTTAAAAATATGCAAATACTTCTTCTTTTAATTTCTTTTGTATAAAATGAAATACAAATTCGACTTATTTCAGAACAATTTATGTCCGCAGACATTATGAATTTTTGCAGAGATTTTTTTTTTATGTTTAGTAAGTTTTTTTACAAAATGTGCACAACATGATCTACAGAACGACTTAGGAAACTTCTGAAAACGGAAGGACATTCTCGAGGTACTGAAGAATCACCAGTGCACGTTCTTTTTTTAAACACCAGTCCAGATCGACGTCAGACTTATAAACTTTTCGTACATTTATAAGAATTGATTGTCCGATGCCATTTATTCTTGAAACGAAATATAATTCTCTCTCTCTCTTTCTCTCTTTTCCCTGCGTTCTTCTACTCTATATGATTGAGATTAAATATAAGTCATTGTTATTCCTAACTTCTATGTGCACCGAGATGGAAACTAGTTATGGAGTAATAACTAGAATGCAGTGTCTGTCGACATCTAGTTTTTTTCTTGTTTAATCACTTTGTTTTGCAAAATGTGTGCGCGTAATCTGGAGAACTACACAGTGTGGAAAAAGTCTTAAAACACGAACACGTTCTTTGAGTACCGAAAATCGACCATTTATGATCCTTTTTCCAACAAACAAACCCGGCGTCACGCGGTTCGAAACGTGGAAGAAAATTGACTTTGAAATTAAAAAGTTTTCATATATTGATTAATAGCTTATTGTCCGGCGCCATTTGTTCTTTAGTGGAAAAATAATTCTTTCTCTCTTTCTGATAGCTCTTTCTCTCTCTTCTTCAAATTTCGTTTTCATTTCATTTTTCTTAAATCTATCATTTAAAGCAACTAACCGCACAGCGAAGGTGATGTGGTAAACCCCTTATTAACTGCAGACCACTCCTGGCAGATTCAGATCGGATACAGTTTGTCGACATCGCAACTTGTACGCAGCGCAGTTGCTCTCTAGTTTATTTTCTTCTTTCGTCCCTTTTTGGGCAAAATCCGCACCTCGTGATCTAGAGAATTATGAAAGCCAGAAAAGTTCTAGAAAAGGTACGATATTCTCCTGGCATTGGAGATTGATTAATGAGCATTTTTCTCTGAGATAAAGCCAGATTCGATGCCTTTAATGCCACAAGTGCAAGAAAAATGTGTTTTGGCCTTTGAAATTTTTCGTATATTCAGTTGTCCGGCGCCATTTTTTGCAGAGAAATTCAACGTAACAGAAAATGTGATTTTATTAATTTTTATACTTGTTCTCCGCATTCTTTTGTTCAAAGAAGGAAACATTTCTCGTTTACTGCTTTCGAATACCGCGTGATGGTTTAATTTGTCTTATAAAAAACAGCAAGAAAGATTTCATATTACTACCGAAGTTAATCAAGCCAGATGGATAGGGTTTGTCATTGCGTTTGGGTCAGAGTTGGGTTTAGTATTGTGTTGGACTTGGATTAATAAGAGCCTAGCAAGATGCTTTATCACATGGTAGTCCATGTGAAAACAGAATGTGCAGTGTTTTGTTTCGTCCTGTGGATATACGTACGCAAGACGGTAACGATAAGAACTTTCTTTAAATTAGGTGAAATGTCTAAAAAAGGAGAAAGTGTAATGAAATCCGGATTATTAAAATCCTTTTTT